CTTCACTTCTTCGAGTCCTCCAATCGACTGGAACATTTATTTTCATAAAGGAGTTAGAGAAATTGCAGTGGCGACCCCTTTATTTTGTTTATGTATCATGCTAAACGTCTTGGTTATCGTGGCAATTCGAAGAATGTCTGGGAGTACATCGTTCATGCATCGCCTGATGATCAATTTAGCGTTAGGTGATATATTAGGGGCAGGTTATCAATGGCTGTGGGCGCTAAAGCTTGCTACTCTCCACCTCACCAAGAATCGCTGGGTCTGCTTTCACAATGCAGCTGTGTTAGTCAGGGTCGTCAGTTATTCTGTCTGCTCGTTAACGTTGTTTTTCGTGGCCTATTTCCGATACATTGCAATATGCCACCCTATGTCGAATCTGAAGAGATCGGTGACGTCACGCACGGTTATACTCGCCATATGGGGCTTATCGTTTCTCCTTTGTTTCCCGATATTACTCGTACATTTTATAATTGCCCCAGACCCGAATTGTATACTAGGAGACAAGGCGCCCAAATTGCTCCAAGTTTCTGAAATTTACTATCAAGTTTGGAGTGGAATCATCATACTTTTGATAATCTCGGTTGTCCTGATATATCTACGTGTATTTATCGAGGCGCAAGTTCTAAGACCACACATCGGGAATTCCACCAGTTCGAGGAAGGATACAAAAGATAATTACAACGCACTAACAACAACACTCCTTCTTACGGCTACACTTGCCTTTGCAATACTACCACATTTCATTTTTAATTTTATACTCAATTATAAACCAGAACTTATCGAAAAACTCCCAGATTATGTTCCAGAACTTTTTGATTTCCTTCCGTTTTTTAACTTTCTGTCGGATCCTATCATTTATGGGTTTAGAACGAAACAGGTGAGACTGCAATGCAAACGATTGCTTCGATGCAACACGGACGAAAGGGGGAGCACCACAGACTCTGTGACGTCTGTGACGTATACGAGTACGTACAGAGGGAACAACGCGGGGAAATACAGTATGAAAGTCCGTAATCCTAGCATTATCAGTAGCGATGCCAGTGGTCCTGCTGGAGGACGAAACGTCGGTGAATCGGCAGTAGTTACAAAGATATAATTAAAATTGTGAATCATATAAAACGATGAAACAAACTCAAGAATTGTGTGGCCATTATTTTAGGTCCTTCAAGTGGTCCATCCATTGACGAAACAATATTAGGCAAATCTAAGGATAACATAACAGAAAATTCCTTATAAACGTACACTCCAAATAAGTAGAAATACTCGAAATTCTCGTAATTTTCTAAAAAGAAGCAAATTTTTTGACCCTACACCTGCCCCCACCTTCCCATAGATCACCAGTGGGGTCGGCCACAGAAACATCGCAGACACGATGTGGAGTTATAATAGTAAAGAAAAAATAAAGAACCCCAAATTCGTCAACGAATTAGATGAATTCGTACCGCAAACATTTTGGTCCATGCAACTGATGTTCAGTGATTATTCAAATACGACATCTAATGGAGAAACTAGACATCTACAAATTATGGATAACTGATTAGGAACAAAGGTATAATCTCAATGCAAAATATATCCAACAGAATTAAAGCTATGATTTGAAAATAGTGAATGTTCATTGACGATATCATACACGCTAAATTGAATTATATGGACGTTATTCAAGCATTTTGACAAATGTATTTGTATTATCCTTAATAAACTATTTCGTGTAATGCTTATCTGTTTAACTTCATATAGATATACGAGATATACAGGGTGTCAAATAAGTCCCGTCCCCCCTGCTACAGCTAGAACCTTAATAGATGGTGCCTAGTGTGATATACCATTGGAAAGATCATACAAAGTTATGTTAACTCAAAAACTCTCAAGTATTTTGGATGAACTTCACCTATATTTTCATGATGTCTTTTATAGTTAGCATACCCTCCTTTAAGCAGATTTTTTGCTTCAAAATGAGAAGGATTTGACCTCAGAAATACGTCAAAAATTTAATCTTTTTCGCATTCCACTTGTTACAAAAATGTTTTCACCACTTACCTTGCTCCTCTTTTTTCTACACATCCTCCCCTATCCAGAAATTGGTTAAATTCATTGCCATAAACATATGTAGTCATTTTTAGGTCCTTTGACCTTTCTTATACCCGATTCTGAAAATCCTACGGAATGCGCCGAATTGCCATGTTTCTAGGCCTATGGTCACCTCAATTGATACACTGTAAAACTTTATGAGATTGATTGACATGTGTCAGATATATGCTAATCAACGTAACTTTGGAAGACCTTTCCAATGATATATCACACTTGGTACCATACATCTTGGTTTTGGCTGAAGAGGGGGGACGGGACTTATTTGACACCCTGTATAGATATTGACACATGAAACAAATGCAAAAATTATTTGGGGAATTATTTTGTAATCTTTCTAAAATTTTGATCATCAACATATTCTTTTCCATGTCTTTCGATTGTTATTCTGAAATTATCTAGAAAATATGTATTGCAATGAGAGAACGAGAGAGATTGTTTCGAAATTGTTGATCTTTGAAAACAAGTAGTTGGTCATTTTGAACGAGGATTTGGAACAGTGAATAATAATAATAAAACAAATATTTCATCCAATTTTCGGTGTTGCAAATTCACCTCAAAATAATGAGCTATTTGTATTATGTTCATTTGGCGATGATTTGAAAATAATAATTGTCTTTTCAAAAGGTCGAAAACTTTCAATCGAACGTCTATTTCTTTTGGTCAGATAATGAGAAATGGCACCTCGAAAACGATCCGAGACTTGATAGCAAACTTGAATCTAATGAATAAGACGAAAAAATCAGCCAATTGCAGAGGAGGGTTTAACCTAGATTCTGAACTTTGTTCCAGATATAACTTTTGCTAACAATGTAAAGTCTGACCGTTAAGTTACTCGAATCACAGAAAGACCCTATAGTTCGTTAAAAACTCCGATGGGATGGTTCTTCCAGTTTCTTTGTATTGGCAGGTCTTTGAAAATTCCAAATGATCAAGCAGGCATAATTTCAAATTATCCGTTAAATATTGTATTTGATATTTCAGATGTGTCCTACTTTGATTAAATTCATTGCAGTTTAGGACGAAGAAATGCGTTTCTATACTTCAAATCACAAAGAATGGCTGATGTCATTTAAAAGACGACGAGGATTTAGGCAGTATAAATAATCAAACATTTACATAATCATAATGTGTTGAGTGGGTTTGGGGCTTTTTTCAACGAATTTTACTCCTGGCTAAGCATGTACAGAAAGTATGAACCAAGTTTCCAACTCCTTTAATCATTGTTAATAGATGCCCTGGAAATGTTAAACCTTAGAGTATTAAGGGAAATTAGTTATTAGTTCATTATTTGACAATAACAAGTGCAATTGTAAGAGTATGCACTATATGAACATTTTAACGGAATTGTTCGATGACATTTTTCCATTACCGCCTTTTAAAAATGTTTTCCACTAAAAGTGTTGTTATATCATGGACTTCAAGTTCCTGGTTTAATCAATTACGGACCATTACAATGTAGACTATGATATACGACCTTAACTCTCGTACAATTGGGTGATGACAAATCATTACATTTTTGCTAAAATTCTGAAGAAAACTCAAAGTAAGGCAAATTTCAAATGTTTTGGATTTCTTACTTGATCTGCTCTCCAGGCCCGAATCCCGAACAAAAAATAAAGCATTCGTCACTCCAGCATTTCAATTGTAAAATCTCGTCCAGTTACTTCACGAAAATGGTATTTTGCTATGAAAACATACGAAAGACAAGAATCGAGAAACACTGCATAACTTTTATGGATTGTTTTCTTTATAGGAGGGCCGTGTTTTAATGAAAGGAGTATTTATCTGTTGTATCATATGCATTAAAGGATGTAAATATTGCAAGTAATAACCTACGTGAATATGTTGTACTGTGAAACAATGGGATACAGAAGTAAAGTCGTCTTTATGTACTTTACATCACACACGTTTGTTTTCCCATGCAGTCAATACTGCATTTTGGAATGAACACGTCTTTAGAATATGCTCATCAGAAAGAGGCAAGGGTTTAGTATAAACTTCAAATGGTTTATGCATTTTCGTACAAAATGTTAATATATTCCGACAATTTTTTCGATCTATCTATATTTGATTGTTTATATAGCAGGCCTATAATAAAACAGCTATATGAAGGACTCTGTGAGGTATACTGTACGTTATTCTCTAATAAGTAATAATGCAGAAAATTAAGATACGGATCGAAATTATTGTAAATTGTAATCCAAGTTGTAATCAAATTGTTGTACCGTGAGACAATATAACACAGAAATATAATCCATAAACAAAGCGTTATGTTTTTACATTTACATTTACATCTATTTGGCGTATATTTTCCAAGGCAGTCTATTGTCATTCATAATAATGATAGAGAAGTTAAGCTTCGCGTTTTTAAGAGAATTTATACGCGAACGTGTATATTTGTGATCTTCTTGGGATTAGCCCGATTGAGTATTGAGGTATGAGCTCGAGGAAATTAGTTGGAATTCGGTCCTCGGAAAAAATCGAGATGAAACAGTAATGTATGAGGGTCCTTACATTTCACGTTCATGTAAAAGTTCTTAAAAGGGTGTAGCTTAACCCAATGAATTAAAAACTCCATTTATTATTACTTTATATTGGGATACGTCTCATAAATTGCATTACTCTGACGTCAAATTTTTGACTTTGAGACCACAATATGTTCATGAATCTGAAGTAACAGGGACGATTCTGATTTCAATATGAATGAACAAAATATAGCGTTAGTGCAGTAATAGATGTAGCATATAATGAGGTTTCACGGAATTTTGACCAGCGTGAATTTCACATTGTTTTAATAAATGAAGGCAATTAATATGAGGACATGTCTGAAAATTCCCGTGGCTTAGTTTGGCAAGACACTACGCCTTGGAAGAAGACTCTTTCAGATTTGTATGTAAAGTTTATTCTCGCCAACTATATGATAAATTCGATCCAATGCCATCTATAGTTCAAGCTCATCGTTGATTCGTTTCGTTGATACATGTTCTAGCCAACTTTACAATATCTCGTTAAAATATTTCATATCCAGCAAACTTATGGGTAGCAACCATATGGTAAAGTAAAATAATTTAAAGTAAAGTCTAATCTAGTCAAGTCTAGTCTAATCTAGTCAAGTCTAGTCTAATCTAGTCTAGTCTAGCCTAGCCTAGCCTGGCCTTGCTTAGCCAAGTCTAGTATAGTCTAGTGAAAGTAAAGAAAACTATAATGTTTCTTAGTGTTTCTATGCAAAATAGCACGCTCCGTCACAGCGGACAAATTTTTCGATACCAGCCTGTGCGTATAAACATAAATTCTTTAATTTCTGGATGATATGTATGTTCCCTTGAACTCAGCAGCACTGCCTGGTCAACAGGATTTTCATAACAATTCTTTTTTCAGCATTCTCCAGAGAAAGAAAATATTCTTGATGGTTTTTCAGTAGAATGAGACACTTTACAGAAGGCCCCTATGGGAGGTAAAATTTATAAAACATTGTCTAGATTTTCTTTATCTTTGGTTGACATTTTCATTATCTTTGGAGGATCAATGAATTTGGAGTCAGGTGTTTCCGTCTGAAGTAACATGCTGTCTACGTTATCCTCAGCCCCTCTTGTCTGTACTTTTTAGATAGCATTCTTGGTCAGAGTCTAGATTTCACTCTCTTGCCTTAAGATTTCTTCTTATTTCCAATCTTAAGTTCATGTACGTATTAGCTTGGTGCGTTTGAGTTTATTCAATATACACAGTTGTCAATGCCACACGATTCTGAGTTTTTAGATTCTGACGGAGTTTAATTGAACGTCCTATTTAAACATATTTGTCTATCTTGCGGCTTCTTTATTAAGAAAAATAATTGTCAGATCCTGATTCTGATTCTTTCAATAGGTATATAAATATTGGCTAGATAAATTGATATAAATTATGTACGCACATGTGCCAAAGTGAAATGACCAAAATTGTTACTGAACTCAGCAAGAAAAAGTCCTAAGTGTGCACTTGTCATAAGGAAAAAATCCTAGCTCTCCAAAACAATAATCCAACGTGAAAAAAGTATAGGATAAACTTGTTTATTGATGGTTTGGGGAGTTTTTGCTAAACTATAACATCCGCATGTCAAATATATCTTTGTTCCGATTTGATCCATGGAAGAACAACAGTTTTCACTTCAATATAATGGAATATAAATATGAACAGTTTAGTTTACTAATTTGCTAGTCATCAATGGAGGAGTTTCATGGAATTACTTGCATATTGATTTAATAGATGTCGTCTTATTATTCGATATATTGTTTACACATTTCGGTCGGAAATTGTGGGTAGATTCTGTGCGTGCTTGGTTCAAGTCACAGATATAATTTGAAATTTTAGTGTCAGGATGTCTTTGATTATTCAAATGCAAAATTCTTACTGATATTTTGACAGGGCGATTTTTCGTGGACTTATTTTTCAATATTTGTACTTTGTAATTGATAACAGTTTAGTAAAACGCCCTGAGAAAATGTTTTAGAATAATATACAAGTTGTTTCACGGTGATTATCCCCCATCCACAACCAATCCTAGATCACATGGCCTCATAATTCATAATTTAATCTAAATATCATAATAGAAACTGATTGGATATTGGACTTATTGGCCAAATATTGACATGATTGATAATTGGGATACATCCTTTGCATCCATCAAATGCTATTGGTACAATTAGCATAGATAATAGTTTTCTGCGCCGTGGTCGAATTTGCTTTTAACACAGCTAATTTCTTAGAAAATATGGCTTTTCGATTCTGTGCCATAGATCAAAAAGGCACCTTTTGATGTAGCAATGTAAACGTTGTTGAGCTAAATCAAAGTTGCTTCAATAAACCCAGAATTGAACAAGCTTTCATATGGTATATAACATGGAGGTTTGCCACTTAAGATCGGCGATTTGGGGATTGAACGGTCGTTATGAAACACCCTGCAAATTGATAATTATTTTAAAATGACAGGGCCAAGATCTAAAACAGATTTCGATAGCGAAATAGTTCTATTATCTTAGTATTCGTCGGACAATCTGTAGAGTTCAACGTTTTACGTTGATACGTGACTTATTAAATTATTCAGATGAATGAAAACACATTGATCAATAATACTTAAATAATTCAATATATCATCATAACCCTAGTATTAATACTTGACTGTTTGATAGAGGAAATACTGTTAGTAAAACAATCTAGTAAACTATATATGCGACCATAAACAGGTTGTTAGATACAATTGGTTATTTAATATCACGTGCCATGTATAAGTATATATGGGATTGGATATCGATTGGGTGCCATGACTAGATAGAGTTGGTTTGCCATTTACCATAAAACAATGGGATATATAAAATATACTTCCATTGTGAATTACCATATGCTGTTTTCCAGCTGCAATTTACTCAGAAAAATGTACTAAGCTATTCAATGCGAGCTCACATTCAATATAGTCTATTCACTGGAGGAACATTGCAGGCTTCAACTTGAATCTCAAACATTTGAAAAAACCAATACAGAAGGGTTTGGTTAATGGAAGATATTGAATTGCTTTTATTGGAACAGAAAAAGTTGAGTAAGGTTAATATAAATGATTCATAACCATCGTCTTTTGCTTCGATGATGGGATATTGGATTAACTGGGGGCTTGAAATTCTTCCCAGACTTATGATGTCAGGAGAACCCATCAATGAAGTGCCTAATAATTACTGAAGTGGTTAACTTGGTGAATTATATGTTTGACGATAGAACCTTTTATGGCTAGCAGATCACTCCTTACTTGCTGTTTTCTTAGAGAGATTCCGACGAAGCATGTAATCCCGTTGTATCACTCGGCATCATCATTCAAGCCTCAACTTGAAAGTAATTATAGGAAGTCATATTTAGGATGACAACTAATTAGTTAAAGAGCTGACGAATTATACATTGGCTACAATTGCTGATTAATTAATGAGGTGAAATCAGACAGAATATCAATCATTATATCGCTTCCCAAGATACACGGTTGCATGCTCTTCAGGAATTGTACAACTTCATCCAAAACTTGCTATACGTCGAACCAGAACAGGGTTATAATACAACTCATTCTGTATGCAGATTCTGTATTGAAGTTCTATCAATGGAATTGATAAATGGAGCGCATCCAGAACAATAGAATTATATGCAGCGTTTATATCAGACCTAGGAATATATCGCAATTGGCTTTAGATGATGCATCCATATGATGATAATACTACTGGTAGAGAATACTTGTACTGGTAACTAGCTACGTGATAGGCCACGCACATCTAGACGCAAAATGTCGACATACGAACTAATGCGTAAAATATCAACTGCGTGGATTTCAATGCGGAGACGAAAGAAACAGTTTAACATCCCAGAGTCATATGGCCATACACCCTCTTCCACTATAGTTGCAACTAGTAGGAGTCTTGGAGGTGTTCTAGCGATTGGTATCTATGTGATCGTGGCAGAGTCAGCCAAGGAGTTTGGGCCACCAGTGGTGATATCCTTGCTTCTCGCCGGAGTCACTGCTCTCTTATCAGGTGGGGGACAATTCTTTACCTTATCTGCAGTCTTGATCTGAAGTCTTGATCTCGAACATTTTATACATAGGAATCATATTTTTATAATGAATCATCGCGGACGCATCGATAATGTTAATAAAAATCGTAGTTCAGGCCGACTATGTGAACAATACAAATTGATAATATATTGTAAAGCAAAATCTGTGTAGTACAATATTTATGTATGTCAGCAACAGGTTTACACACGTCCCAAAATAGAAGACATGCAATCTTTATGTCATTAAGAGTCTCGTTTCCTTCATTGAATTCAATTAGAAGACCGATCGATTAGCCCATTACTGGATACAACCATTTGATGTCTCCAAAAGTCGACATTTAATACTAATACACAGTCTTTGCATTATCATTTTCTCGGTGGCTTTTTAAAACATGAATGAATCAATATAGGAATGGTATAAAAGTATTCAATCATTTTACGAAATCCTCGGTCGCGCAAATGTTCGTAATAATGATTTAGAAGTCCGGGTAATAATCAATACAAGAAGATTAAAGTCAAAATTGGGAATGTTAAACAATTTTATTTTAAGGTCTTATTTATCACTTATAATTTAGAATGCTTTAATTGTCCAAAGGATTATGAAATGAAGCAAATGAACTGACTTGGTGGAAGTTACAAAGATTGCTTAGGATGGATTTAAGGATGAATTTGTAATTACTCAACCATGGACTAATATTCTCAACCAATCAGACTGCCAATTTCCTCAACGTTGAAATTTCAGCAAATGACTGCATTTTTCAAATATCTGACGTTGTTTTATAAAAAGAAGTTGTTGGATCCAGGTATCAATATCGTGACGTCGTTCTCAGGTCAGGCTGAACTCAAGTCAACTTAGCGCAAAATCTATCTACGCATTCACTTCTGTCCGTTTATATGTCACCACCAAGAAGTAATAACTTAACAAATACTCTTAGACTGACTTCAGCTTTTTCAGAAGTTATCAGAAGTTCAAATCTGACTTTTGATTTTAGATTTGACCTTCATTGACCTTCTCAATTTTTTCAAATTGACAATTTTTTTCTACAGGTTATCAGAAATTCAAATCTGACTATATATTTGACCTTCAATGACATTCTCAAGGTCAAAAGAATTTGACCTTCAATGACCTTGTTAGAGTCAAAGGGTAACTTTTCAACTTGCTTCAATTTTTTTCAAAACCATGTACACGTTCTCAGAAGTTCAAATCTGACTTTAGATTTGAGATTTCACTTTCAATGATCTTCTCAGGTTCAAAAAAGGTATTTTTCAACTTCTTTCAAATTGACCAATTGTTTTTCAAAATCATCTTCAAGTTCTCAGAAATTCAATTCAAAGACAGGGTGCAAAACTCATCATCTCCAATCGAATGCAGGATGTGATCACGTTAACACTGATCATGAGCACGTGCTCTCTCATTGCTGCGCATGCGCAAAGTAAAATTTGAAATCGTGGGAATGGCGCAGAGGAGGGTTCAAAGATGACATACGCTTATAATGTAATTCTGTATTGAGATGAAATCGTCGCTGATTGGTCAAAAGTCGACAAACAAATGACGTCATCAATGGCGGTTTCAAAATTTTCGAAATATGCTTCGAATAATATTATCTTCATTTCTGGCGTGTTAACCAATATCATAGCTTCTCATTTCACATCAAGATAAAAAAAGGTGTACGGAATATGCCTATATCAACTAAAACATCCCATCGAAGTGTAGTATTTGATAACTAGCCGATGAAAATTCGAACGAACGAAGGTGGTAAGCAAGAGAGGTAATTATGTCTGTCATCCTTAAACTCTAGATCTGGGGCTTTCCCTCCTCTTGGAATGGCGTTAACATCAGTTCAACATCATCATTTCAAACCTACGGTTACTCGATCCATACTTGTAGAGAATACTCATAAAACTACAGTGAACATTTTGGAGATCCATTTCAACGGCAAATTGAGGCCTGTTTATAAAATTTGTTTTTGAACGTGCTAATATGAAAGGTCATCTTTGGGAAATCCCCCCCCCCGCTGGACACCATTCATGCGTATTCGATAACCTTATATTTTGAAGACGGGTGTCTATGGACACTCTTCTAATGAGATAAAATAGACACTCACTTAGTTGAATCATTGAAAATAAAACAGTTTATCCTATGCCAAGTAGAGTTTTAGGGAGATAAGTTGGTAAGATATATCCCGTATTCTGATTTTGAGGTTTCCATATCCAGAACCTCCATATCTCCCGCCATATCTCCCGCTTCGGTGCATATCTTCCCGCTTCGGTGCATATCTTCCCGCTTCCGGTAAGTAGTAGAAATGTAATAAAATGACTTTGCATATGAATGATTTGTTTATTTTTACACCTTGTATTGTTGAAATGGCCATATGTCCCTGAAAACTCTACTTGGTATAGGATAAAGCAGTTATGTACGGTCGGTTTGGATATTGAGTTCATCCCTCGTGAGATATGCACATCTACCTTCGGTCCCTACGGTCCCTCAGGTAGATATGCACATCTCCCTCTGGATAAACCCCATATCCAAAACCTCCCAGTACATAACCCTTATGTATATGGAGACCCATATAACAGGTTGACAAAATCCCTGTAATAAAGGTGTCTATAGACACCCGAAAAGTAATCAATATTTGCAAGTCTATCAGTTTATCATTTATTAAGTCGAATCACATATTTACCTACCCTATTCAGCTATGGCTGACGTCAGCTTACCTCAAGTTTCTTCATAAGCTAGCACACAGTTGAATGTACTGACAAAAATAAGCTAGGTTGATAAACTTACAAGATAGAGCATTCGTTTCAAAAACATTTCCAAAATCTCACGACTTTTTATCGGAATGTGCGGATTTTGCAGATGAGTGCTATTTGATTATCACCTGTTGGAAACAAGAGATCTATGATGACTCATGATGAATCCAATTGATAAATGCATTTTTTCATTTTGAGCCACAACAATCTCAATTTTAGTTCAATATCATTCCTTAGTATAGGGCTACAGCATGGACGTACTATATACATATACAGCTCCATGGCTACAGATAATGATTCAAGTCGAAATCTGACCCTAATCCGGCTTAGAAAAACTTTGGAATATGCATGAAAACACTATCAAAGGCAATCGGCCAATGGGCAATGATGTACACTGGAAAGTTTAGCAATAAACGTACAAATACCATTCTTCAAGAACCACGTCGAAAAGTCAAAATGTTCAAGACAGAAACAGCTATCCATGAAACAGCTTCATCAAGAAAACTCAGAACAAGATATTCAACAAATAATATATGAACACAGCTTCCAATTTATTTCCATGTTACTTTCAAAAGTGGAATATATAATGGGGAGTTTTTCTTTTGTATTTTGGATTGTTCTGTATGCGAAACCTTGCAGTCGGAACTTGAAGCAGGTGATTCGGGTAGGAGACTAATGATGTAAGAGGGTAAAAAATAAACCGCCTTCCATATTCGTCCAATTTATTTGCCGATATTATATGTGAGTAGAGAGATCTGTTCAATTATCTAGCTCAATAGAACACATCGTATTCTTTTTTTATGGTCTTGTAACGGGAAAAAACGACGGAACTATCTTCCCAATACTTTCCGACTCGCTAACTTTATATTATTTGACTAGTATATGTAGTCTACATTTATCCCGTACCAGGACTATAGTCCTGCATTGAGAGCATTCTTTTGCCTAAACGATTACAACTTGGGAGAATTATCTACGCCCCTTACACTTAAGATACCTACTTCAATTGATTCCTGGGTATTTTAGCATTCTTTTCGTGTAGTTGAATCCACAATTGTCTGGGTATATCGGCAGAACGGGAACATTTTTCTTTTTCATCGAGAGATATTCCATCACTTTTCAAGATGGCGGTTGCCGATAAACCCAGACAATTGTGGATTCAACTACAAGAAAAGAATGCTAAAATACGAAGGCATCTATTGAAATAGGTATCTTAAGTGAAAGAAGCGTAGAAAATTCTCCCATGTTGTAATCGTACAGGCAAAAGAATAAGACGTTCGCAGGACTATGGTCCTGGCACGGGATAAGTCTACCTCGTCGAGTAGCATGGTGTACGAAATGGAAAAATATGTTTGATCACACGATATCAATGCTCAAGTAGCAAGCAACATGAAAAAACGCACACACGCATGAAAATGAAAGATGTTCAGCCTAAGCAACAAAAAAGACATACCCTCCCAATGAATTAGTTCGAAAATAGACCGCATTTACTATTTAAGGAATAACTAATGAAATTCGATGAGAGTTTGGTCATGTTTGAATTTGTTTTTTGAATATTTTTACATCGTCAACAAACCATATAATGTTTAAAAATATGAAACTAAGTACTCTCAACTAAACGTTTTACTTGCTTATTACTTGCTGTTCATTATTTAACAACAAATTAAATGAACAACTTTTGGTGAATAACAATATAGTTAAAATAGTTGAATTGTACTAATGCATTAAATTGTGTCTAGTATAATGAACTCATGAGATTCATTAATTTGCCATATCAGCTTCGTGTGCTTCTTATGAGTCCCACTCGTTCATTATTAGCCTAGCTACAAATGACAATTTTGACATTGAGCGGGTAGTACTCAGTCTCTGCCGTCAACTGAATACTTTTCCGGAAAATACCGAACCTGCCCGTCAAGTCAGTTTCACATCAGTACGCATGTGTGTCACCGTCATCTTAGTCCCATGTTCCTAACCTAAGTATCCGGCAAAAGTTTGAAAAACAGTGTCGTTATCTCAATATTTTATTGCCGTCATTTCATTTTCCGTTACCCGTCAACTCAGTTTCTTGCCTGTCATCTCATGATCAGTTTTTCGTACGTCATCTCAGTTATCCAATCAAATATATTTATTCTGTATATATTAGGGTCGTCAGTTTATTCGCCAATCAAATCACAACATTTTTGACATTGACCAATCACGACAGTCGGTAATTTCCGGAAGTTTTGAGTTGACAGGCCCGGATCGAGTTGACGACCAAGTAGTATCCCCCACTTTGACAATGCAGTACGCCTAGATAGGGATCCAAAAGTGATCGATATGATTGTCGTAAATTCGATCGAACAGCACATTATAAACGGTAACATCTGTTTTGATGTTTTATAGGTCTGTGTCAATTAGAACTTGTTGCCAGGATTCCACTGAACAAGCGTTACGGAAGGTCACTTTACTCCGTGCTCTACCAAGGTTGGGGCGAATGGGTTGCCTTCACCATAGGATGGATTCTCATACTCCAGGAACTTTCCATAATAGCTGCAGTTATGCGAACTATTTCACAGACGTTTGATTTCCTGCTTGGAAACCCCATCAATACGTTCCTTGTTAACAACACTTTGATCATGCCTGGGCTTGATAATAGAATAGACATCTTGTCACCCATCTTAGGGATTGTTTGCTTGGGAATATTGATCGTGAACTTAACGCTAACGGACACACAGAGCGTCGGAGCCTGCATCGTACACGTATTGACGATTAGTTTTATATTGATCGTTGGGCTCTTCCATATCCAATTCACTAATTGGGCCACTGGCGGAGGTTTCTTCAAAGAAGGAATGCGCGGGGTTGGTATAGCATCATCTATGTCATTACGGTCTTGATGACTTCAATTAGAGATAACAATGAATTAATTAGACTGTAATAGCACCTGGACCAATTCCAAATCAAATCATTTACAACTCAATTTCGATTAATCGCCAATTCATTTGGCACCATTTCCATTGTATGCACAGATCGATACTCCTTTTGTTTCATTGTTTCAGGTGTTGTCTGGGGCAGGTTGGTCCATGTTCGCCTTCGCTGGAAGTAGTATTGAACAACATGGTGTTGACAGTCAATCGAGTGTAACTGTGATATTTGGGATAACCGTCATGTCATCATTAATTATCTACTTTGCAACAGGTGCCACGATAACGCTATTAGTTAAAGTATCTCAGCTCTCAAGTGATGCTATTCTAGCTGAAGCATTTTATTCAGATGGTGCCAATTGGATGAAAGTACTTATCTGTGTAGTCGAAATGATTCTGTTAACATTAACCCTTCTAACAATTGTCCAGAGGCTCCCAAAACTGTTGATGGAGATGAGGGAAGACGGAATGCTGTTTGCATGTTGCACGGGTGCCGTTAACCAGAATTCACAAAATCCGCTTGGGTTATTTTTAGTTATGACAGCATCAGTATCTTTGATGGCTCTGATATTTAGCATCGTTGATCTAACGGTGGTGTTATCTTTGACCACGTTGTTGAGTTATGTTATATCCATAATTGTTGTACTATTAACCCGATATATGCCATGTATGAACCTTGAAACACCACGGAGATCCTCTCCTAGAAGAACAGCAATAAACACGTCATTGCGAAAATGTTTGGGATCGCTCACTTCAGATATCAATAATCTAAAAAATGAAGGATATTCGAATGGATTTAATGATCGAACAAATGCTAATGCTGGGAAGAGAGACGGTGCATCTTTGGATGATGCTGCTGACAATGCTAACAAGCAGGCGATGGACAACTCATCAACTAATACGATACGAGAGTTCGAGCCTGGTGGAACCAACAATAATGACTCGTTCCTCGGGGAAGATGAATGTCTTCCTAATAGCTACCAAAATGATCCCCAAAGAGACAATGACAGCGGAAGTGACACAGACATAGATCAAGTAGTTGATGAATACCAATGCCAAGTCAGACTCGCTAGCATATGGAGAGCAAGGGATGCTTACGGTCCAAATCTCCCAACATCAAAGTCATACGCTATAGCAGTATGTTCTACTGTGATATTCATCCTATGTTCAATCATCTCCAGTTGTCTTTTGATATATGGACTCGGGAAAATACGAGATGGAAACACGGCTACTATTTTTGGCTTTGTGATAAGCAGTATTGGTGTACTTGGATCAGGAATTATGATTGGAAGACAACCCCAGGACTATGCAACATTAAGCCTGTCTTCCCACCAAATGCCTTTCTGTCCATTGGTGCCCTTAGTCGCTTTAGTTTTAAATATTTCGATGGCTGTGTCATGCAGTTCGATGGCATGGATCTGGCTGCTGGCCTGGATGAGCATCGGTGAGTTGTAAATAATCACGCGAAATATTTGTTCTCTCTATTCGTCGTACACATATTTATAGCCATGCAGATTCAGAAACAAGGGACACTTACATGTATCTCTGACAGTTCATTAATTCATTTTTCTCTGCCGGTCCCAATAAGTGCTGATTTGCATCGATCTCTATACAGGTATATACCCCATAGTATTTCTTGTCAGTATCAGTATCGGTAGTCATCTGGATTACTTATAATTATACATTAGTTGCAAACATGTGATTTGTATACTTTTAGGAATGGCGGTTTACTTTTGTTATGGGATAAAACATGGCAACGAGGCCCAGGTTTTATCGAATGCCCCTGATGAAGAACAAGTTTTACTGACACCCTCGGATAGACTCGAATCCGGCCATCGATCTTCTGATGATTAGTTGGACATCGGCTTTCTGTTATTAATATTATGGTGCAAATTTTCACCCAGCCCTAGCAATTAGCATAGCATGCCTACAGCTATGAACATTGGCAATTTGAGCTTTTTCGAGTGAATACATAAACAGGCACCATCCTCTCCCAACCGAGTTTCTATAAAATGTGCTTTTTAATTTCTCACTCAAGAAAAGAGGGCACGTCTGGACCTTGTTATATTTTATTTTTAACTCTTTTAAGACTAAATGTAATTTAAATGCTTGTTTATTTTTCATGGAATACATGTAGTATTGAATAAATTGCTGCATAGAATGCTTATTTTTAATCAAATCGTAAAAGTACATTTGTTAATTGCTGAGAATCTTGAGTACGAACAAGTAATAAAGTTCTAAAGCATACCGTGTTAATTAATTAGATCGACGATATGACAGCCTTGTAGGACATGTGCACGTAGGATATTTACATCATTTTATCTATAACTTAAAACCTCTAATCTAAAAGTAATGAATATTTGTCATATAAAAATGATAAAGTATAAAACAAATATTTAATTCTATTTAGGTGAATACCTGTGCATCTTTCACCGTTATATTCCCCACAATAATGGAAAAACAAACTATTATTCATGTCTTATTTATATATACCATGAAAAAATTAATTGGAACAATCTTTTGTTAGGCTTCATGATAGATCTGATTCTCTCATAACAATGTACTCCGGATATAGAAAATCAAAATTACAGTGGACTAAGTCGGGACTAGTGAATATCATTTGTTATCACATGAATAGGAGTGTCTAAGCATTTTGATTGGTCAATTGTGATGATGTATATTCCGTATCACATGGCACGTGACTAATTTTCATGTGATACGGTGGGCTGTATCACTACGGAGTCAATAGCAACGATGTGACGTCACTGGTTATATCACTTCCTAGCTAAGGAAATCAATATGACGTCATACTATTTCACAAACAAGTACGAATACAACGGTATGATGTCACATTGCTTCAAAGCGAAATCAAAAATTATAATAGTTACCAGGAGTACAGGGGTTCGTTTTTCGTACGATCGTAACTTACGATTCCGAGAAATCCATGTGTCTCTGTTTTAAGGAACAATGACTTGCGACCAAATCGTAAGTTACGACAGTTTCAAAAACGGACCCCAGGGTACTGAACACAATCATAACTGACCAAATCAAAATGCTTCAAAATTCCTAGACATGTGATAAAATCGTCATCACACGTTTCAACTTATGTGATACAGGAAATATTCCACTCGGGTAACAATGTATCACCACTCAAGCTTCGCTTTCGTGGATGATACAGTATTACCTTTCGTGGAATATTTCCTGTATCACATGCTGAAACGTGTGATAACTGATAATATTCAATGGAAGTCACGTGACTTGACATATTGCTTACGTGTAGGACATGGACCAATGAAAGAGTGAGGAATATGACAGTGACATTATAAAAAATGACATGTACACGTAATTTTTCTAAATAAATAGATAATTTCTGAATTTAAAAAAGTCGTAACACAATGATTAGAAAATAGGTCATAGTTGTCCATTGTCCATTCAGTTTTCATTTTGAGAATCTATTTTCTGTCATGGCAATTTAAAATACAGGGCCCAAAAATGAATCTTAATTCCAATCCAAAATGATTCCACGGATCAGCTATTTTGGGCACCTGGACCAGTAAGCACTCGTTGGTGTAGGCTCTGCATATAGTGACAGGTGCTTTCAGTTATTGAACACTGGTTCATATAAAAACGAACAACTGAATGTTCCTATTATTTTCGGACCTGTATGTACAGGGTGGTCAAAAACGGAAAGCCTGCATTTTCCTCATATCTTTTTCATTTTAAGAAATTACTCCCTGATATTTCACAAATGTGTACCTCATTCAATTGCCATCCTACCATATTTCATGACAATCAGAGTGATACTCACAATTTTACAACACTTTGAACAACAAGCTTCGGGTGTTTGGCCATCATCGCGATGTAGGCAAACCTGCGCAATTGTCAATGACCCAAATGCATTCCTCAGCAGGTATGATGATAATGACACAAATGATCTCACTTTTGAGGTCTGTAATTGTCCTGAGATCAAAATCATACACTCTATCTCTGCCATATACCCATAGGTAGGGACATTTTGAATAGCGTGTGCAGGTTTTCCGACAGCGAAATAGTGGCCAATTGGGGCTTTAACATTGTTACTACGGTATCAATCCGATGGTCATGAAAAACATTAGGCTCATGGGTAATTAAATGGTGTACTAATATTTAAAATATCAGGGAGTTATTCCTTAAAATGACAAAAAAGATATGACGAAAACGTGTAAGGGTTTCCGTTTTTTGACCACCCTGTATTTATTATAAAATAAGAAGAGGAATGCACTAGGATTTAGAGATGACCATATCTTTATTCGAGTGAGTTAATTTCTAAAAACAATTGAGCATCCGATTACAAGTAGCAGCCGGTATGAATCAGACAGGTGTGTAAACTGATTAATGTCCACGGTGTATGAAGGAAAATAACATATTATTTTCGGCGTTGTGGATGGAATATCAGGATTTCGTAATCCTACATCTACGTATCAAAACGGGAAAGAGTCTTGACCCATTTAGATGTGTTTAAAGTGGTAATAAGGTAGTTTCAATGATGCCCTTTGTGTTTTCCATTAATTGATCTGCTTTCCTTTCGCTTTTGTTACGAACTGCCATCATTACCTCGACTATCACAAAGAACTATCACAGTCTCCATTTAGTTCTGTAGACACTTTGATATAGTCACCCTTGGCCTTGTCAAGATCATATTCTGGAGTATCGTCAAAACTAGAATGCTTATCAAGGTCGTTTCTGCAAATGTCATTTACGAGGGCACATCCCGTAGCATGACTAAGCACATTGGTAGCCGTTCTTAGGCGGTCACTAGAAGAGAGAAATAAAAACACCATCAAGTTTGAGTTCTATCTTATCTGACATTCTGCTTTCCGTAATATTTTGTTATCGAATTATCCATGTGATTATAGAAGCTACTATACTTAATCAACATATACAGTAAAACAATGGTCTAGTCAGTGTTGGAAGAAAGGCATCCTTACTTAAGCCATTCTAATGTGAAGAAGAGCGCTATAGAGTCATTCATAGGCAGATCTAGAGCGCCACCTAGTAAAACCAGTATTACTAGACTTGAACTTGGAACCACGGCAACACCAAACGACGATGCAAAGCAGAGACATCTATAAAAGCATCACACGTTTACTATGTAATAGGTGTACAACCCAAACGCTCCTACATGCACAACGAAGCGTTCCATTTACGCGGAAACGCTACGAAGTGAAATAAAATGGCGGCTTATGAAGATCCACCGATTGCCGTGAGTATTGTTTCACTACTCGTTATTCTTACATGTCACACGTTTTCTGGTTATTGTGACATATTATGTACCATTCGATAAGCAATACCCTGAGCAAAGATCTGGAAAACCTTTTACCTAATCATTTCCGCAAGCCATTTTCTTAGTCCGGAGCGTTTCGTTGATTAGATTTAGTAATGAAACGCTCCATCGTACGTGTATATGTAGGAGCGTTTGGGTTATACACAGTAGATGTCTTTTGAATACACTCACATTGTGATCATATTGATTTATAAATAAAACATTTTTGGTTTCATAATTCGATGCTTTGTATTTTCATAGCCATTATAACTTTTTTCATGTTAAGAGAAAATTTATAAAAGTCAGTTCTTTAAAATTTCTGTTCTTTAAAATTTCTGTTCATGTACAGTGCGACTTACCCTAGTACTATTACTTTAGTCACCGTGAGCGAGATTCCGATACTCTGTGACGCAAACAACACAGCCACACATATGAACAGAACAGAGCCATCTCTATTGATGTTGACGCTTATTGGAAGGACAAACTTGCTAACACGATCGTCTATCCCAATGCTAGCCGTATTGAGAAATAAGTGAGGTAGTGCTGCCATACTGGAGTACAATAATGAACACCTTCTGATAATCATGGATGTAGGATTTGATGTTGAACGCCATTTTAATCTTGTCAAACGATAACAATTAATCAATCGAACGATATGCATGTTACCAGACAACTGCTTGGTAGAGAAATAGATTGAGTGATTGATTGGCAGATTCATGCATTGACATAAAACCGGTCCAATATCATACTCATTGGCGTTACATATCAAAATTAAATAAGATCTCTTTGAGCACTAAAGTCAAGCTGTTTTATCGTTTGGTTACCTAATTTTACTGTTGTATACCTACCTGGATGGAGGAATAAATCCTGCCAATATGGAAGGGATCATTTTGATCAAGAACTTGTAGGGATTCTTACGGCAAGCTATGAAGTATATTCCCGGAAGAACAATCAAGCTGTGGATGCAGAGACCAATGGTGACGGTTAATGAGAAATATCCAAGCGACTCGAATGCTGATTGAAGATTTGATATCTTCAATACAGCAGAAGCGACGAGGCTACCAAGCCCTATAGGAGAGTACCTGCATATAATCATAAAAAATTATTATCGCATAATATCCATAAGCACCAATAATGCCATAGCTAGGCAATTGAAATTGCTAACTTTATTTAACAAAACATTAATACGTTTCTTCAGATCAACGAAGTTATAGGTCTTTAAAGTCAAAATTGTTTTCCAAAAAACCTCTCCCTTTGAACCCTAACCCTAACCCTAACCCGAAATACCGCAGGAGGCGAAAAATGATTTTCAAAAATGACTTTGAAGCTCTGTAACTTTAGTATTCATCAAGTAAACTAAACATAAAGTTAGAGAATTCAATTTTCTATATAAACATATTTTTACTGAATAGATATCCAGATTTCTGATTTGCCTCTATTTCCCATTGGTTAACATGGGAATGACGATTTTCAAAAATTCATCAAAAGCATCAATTTTCGACCTATTGTAATCGAGGGGGAAATGGACATGAATGGACAAACGGTATAATCAACCCTAACTACAAAACCTGTAACAACGACCAGCGATCCCTCTTAACTACAGAGGCATAACACTCCTAGCTGTACCTGGCAAGATCTATATTGTGTTCTCAACAAGAGACTAAGTTGATGGCTAGGAGACGACGATATACTGGCTGATGAACAAAATGGATTCCGGATGATTCGAAGCTGTATAGACCACATCCACTCCTTATATATACCATACTTCATCACAGGAAACTATAGAAGCTTGATATTCATGTTTTGTGGAAGCAAAGCAGGCCTTTGACAAGATCAATCATCTGTCTGTCTGTTCCATAAACTCATCAGGATAGGTGTGAGAGGAAACATGTATTATGATATCAAATCTTTATACATGTTATACACTGCTGCAAAGAGCTCTGTGAGGGTAAATGAACACCAAACCAACTACTTTCCAGTGTTATCGGGTATTCAGCAGGGGGCCCAGATTTCTTCGACCCTCTTCAACATCTACATTAACGACATGACATAGAAAATCAAAGAACTTAACATGTGCGTCTCTTGCAACGGTGAAATGCATCAATCCAAATATGCAAACGATGTGGTATTTATCAAAGATTCGGCACAAAACCTTCAAACAATGTTAAATAAATTACAGCAGTAGTGCCAAAAGTGGCGCTTTACGATCAATGGCATGAAAACCAAAACAATACACTTCAGAGCAAGCATCAAGCCTCAACAAGACTCTATTTTCATGCTTGATAACACAATCCTGAAGTACACGAATGAATACAAATACCGAGGTGCTTAGGTTCAATGAACACCCGGACATGACAAGTGCTGTGAAACATCTAACTAAATCAGCAGGAAGAGCACTTTGTTTAATCAACACCAAATTCAGAGACACGGGAGGAATCCATCATGATATCTACAGCAAATTGCTTGACAGCTGGTTGCTCCAGTGCTGTTATATGGTGCAGGTGTATCTGGCACCAAACCCTATGGGCTGATAAACACATGCACACTTCTAAACCGAGCCTGTCGATTCTATATATGTGTCAAAACAACAACACCAACAGTAGCAACCTGTGGAGATATGGGATGGTTATCCATGGAATCCAGACAATATGTCGAAATCTTAAGGCTATGGCAGAGATGAGATAAAATAAGTAATTCAAAGCTGAACAAAATGATATTTGGTCAAATGAACGAGCTAGCTAGCAACCACAGAATGAAAAATTGGACTTTTTATGTCAGAAAAGTTACTATGAACAAAGTATAAAGATTCAAATATTTTTATCCCCCCCCCCCCCTTTCATTAGGGATGCTGTTGCTTGTAATCTGTGTAACTTGATGCATGCTTGTGTAACTTGTAACCTGGTAATTTGTGAAATGCCTCTGTGTGTTTGATAACCTGTAACTTGAAACCTGTGTAACTTGTAGGTTACCCGTGCAACTTGTAACTTGGGTAACTAGATAAATAGTGAGACACAACCATTTAGACTCTCTTCTTCCTCGCTCTCACTTCCGCTTCACTTCTTTACTTTAGTTATATGATTTCGACAGAGACTTCTAAATTATATAAAAAGTTTCAGCATAGTTGTAAAATTTCAGCAAGTTTCAAAAATTGATGCTAACAAAGGACCTAAGAACTTGGAAAAATAGGAGTAAACAATGAACTGAGAACTTACAAAACAAACAATCAAAAATGAGTTTAAACCAGAAAGACCAGAGTGGTAGATGATAAGTGACTCTTTTGGTTAAAATATAACCTACCACATAATTGCAGTCATCATTTTAAAGACGATGTCATTTACTCCACTGAAGAAGTTTAACACAGGCTTGGCGGAATCCCCCGTTGCACTTGCGGCAATTCCAAATACTATACTGAATATGATGATACCTTAAACCATTTAAAACAGATGATTTATACAGCATTCAAGATGTGAATGTAAAATAACGACATGCTATTAATATTGTAGCTGATAATACTTACCTAATGTGTTCATTCCATCCCGGTAATCAATTTCTTTTACGACCTCAGTGATGTTTAATGTACTATTTGTGACCACTTCTCTCGACGTCTGGATCTGAAAGCGTTATAGTTTTGTAGTGTGTGACCATATCATTGGCAACACCCTTAAAAAGGGACCAAATGAGACTATTTCCATTAATTCAAGGTATTTTCAAATCGCCATCAAGGTGGTATTACGAACAGTTAATAAATTGGTTGAACATACATGAATGAGAATTCGAATAAAGAAATCCGTTACGGGGGATACTTACAGATTCCATGCATGCTTGAACTATATTCTCTGGGATCATATTCCTGAATAAATCCGCAAATAAATCGGAGTAACTTATTGTCTCGCCAGTGCTGTAAACTGGTGACACATTTTGGTTGAATTTCTCCCCCGGTCGCATTACAAGTCCAAGAACAATTCCAATGATAATACCTATCGCTTGTGTTAAGCATATATAGCCAAAAGTAACACCGCCAATCTTACCATTGGAACGAGGGTCCAGTGAGGAAACTCCTGAAATATTATACATATCTCTATGTGCTCTGGGATGTGCAGAAATAAGCATAACGGGAAACTTTACATGATAACAGTTACTAAGTAGGAATAAAGGTTGCTTAATGATAATGTTGTTGGTATCGATGTAAACCTTATCGTATCGAACTCATCAGAAAAGTATTGCATAATTTGGAAGGTAGGCTAACAAAGGTCAAATCGAGGTCAACGTGACCTGTAAATTTTATAGGTAAAATGTCAATTTTTTCAAAATAACATTTTTGGTGACATAATCTGACTCTTCCTAAAAGAAGAATCTGTTATCTTTCAAATGAAACTAAAATCAATGTAAACGCTTTTCTATTACGTGAATGTTTGTGCCACAAAGCACGTCAAACTAATGATGTGGAACGTACTAAAATGCTACGTATGTTGTCAGGTTATCGCAAATTTTTTTTGGGTACGAATGTATTAGGATCTCGTCTGTTTTCCTACACTACGTATTGACAATTCTGATTTATATAAGTATGCTGAAATATCACATTTCCATTCAGAAGACTTCATTATTGTGCGCCATGATGGAATAATTACATTCTTCAAAATACTTTTGAATATTCTGCTATTCAGTAACTAACTGTAAGATCACGAGGTCATTATGAACACGCCTCTATTCGAATGTATTCTAATGTATTTATTGATGTACAAGTCAATACTTGAGGACAATATGTAAAAGTCTTTTGTTTCGGAATCTTTTCAGATAATCGTATCTCACTTTTAAAGTGTGGGAATTGCATGTTTCAGAATTTGACATATCTTTGAATGAACTTATAGACTGAATTGGGAACGATGATTTGCCACTAAAATAACTTGTTTTAAAAAACATGTTATTTAAAGATATCTTAGGATTTGCTCAATATATACCGGCACACCTCAACTGATATCGTATGCATTTCTAGATTACGGGAAATACAACGCCTTACTGCATCGCATCCAATATTCTGATTAGATACAGACTGGGTAGACTAAAAGACTGGAACTAAGATTTACAATTTTACTCAAAATTATGGTCTTAATTATGTTTATAGCTTACTTTCACTAAAATTATGATCATTCTTATATCCCTGTCAAAAAACAGACACAGAAAGCACATTGAATCTATTGAATAAAGTCATTGAATGGAACTTGTTTATGTTGCTTCTATAAATTATAAAAAGAATTAAATAGTGGCAAAAAATAATGGACTCACATGATGTATTGGTCATAAATATGACAACTTCATTCGGTAGCTATATACAGGGCGTATCAAAAAAACGCAACAAGTAGTGATCTCGTAAAATTCCAAAACTAGTGATGACTACATGAAT